AAAAAAAAAAAAAAAAAAAAATCAGTTTTGTCACTAAAAGGAATAACATTGCGCAAGGTTTCACCAAAATGTTCGCGAGTCCAAAACAACGCCTATCTCGACTGTTTGAAAAGGGATAAAAGCAGAATGAATTTGTGCTAATTTTCAGCGTCTAAGGCGTTTAAACAGGAGGACTTCTCATTAGTTCTGCATTATCAAAGAACAACACACACATATATAAACTGCTATTATTGCTTTGCAGCTGCGCATACTTTGGATAATGAAAAAGGCGAACACTGATCCAATTTTATCACTCTTTCCCAAAGTAATCTCACAGGAGAGAGATCATGGCTTGCATCTGGCTTTTCGTTTGCCTCATTCTTAACTGTGCTGTTGTGTGGACTGGTAATGCAGGTACAAATTCTTTCAAATAACCGTGACCTAAATCACTACCAACAGACCATTTTCCCCCTACTCATTGGTTAAATGAGATCATCATTGCCTATAGTTGCGCTTGAGAAATTTGAGTACGTTACTGTTATCCCTCCCCTGTCGGATCATTGTTGCCCTTACAGACTGCACTAACTAATGTAGTATCGCGGTTAGTAGGGAAACATGAATCAAGAGCACGGACCTCACACCTTCTAGCGGTTCGTCGTGACTTGCTTAATATCCTGGTAGTCTAACTCAAATAAGGCAGTTTTCATCTTCTCGTGAGACAAATGATATCTGTAGCTTTAGCTTGAAATCATCGTTGACGGAATCCCTGCATGCAAAAGATACTCGACAACTGCCTTACACTATCGTTATCAGTAGATATTCCACACTTTATTTCAAAGCAAGCCAATGATTGTCACCATATGGTTGAAAATGGAGGTAACCCCGAAATTTAAGCTGTATCAGAAGTAAACGAGCCTAAAAAGGGTAATGAAATTTTAACTGACGAAAAACCAGCAATATTTTCACTATCAAATTCTTCACCTAAACCTAATTAAAGTGCCAAACAGCCAAAATTAAACTAAAAAAAAAAAAAAACACACAAGTGGCCGTGATATGAACCGCCTGCTGTATTTCCAGTTTTGCCTGGCTCGAAAGCAATTTACCTCGCAATATATTATCAGGCTTTGATAGTGCCACGCCTCTTTGGTATCTTTGCCACACACTCCATGAGTCACATACCCGCAAGCTGTATATGCATTTTTATTTTCATATCTGCATTTTCGAAGTCATCATTATTACGCTCTTTGGGAAATCAAAACGCATCTGTTCAAACACAAGGTTTTCTTCATCTGTCATATTCTAGTGAAAAGATTTTATCAATTAAAGGCAACACAACACATCTTTATTTGCACAAATTAGAGAAATACATACACAGAGGAAATAAAATGCACGAAAGAAACTTGAAAATCAATATTATCAAAAAAGTATTTCTTTTTGTGTAGTGGATTTCAAAGATTGAAGGTACAAAACTGGAACCACGTTTGCCGAACTCAGTCACGGTTCGAAAATCAAGTCAAAATGTCGCCGTCGGTCAACCAAATCTTGAAGATAGTATTTTAGCAAAGAAAGGATCATTTCATACATATACACACTTACCAAGTTGACAATAAACGCATGCATTTTATTGAAATACGATGATAAATTTTCCAAATTTGCCGGCGATATTCGTTACCACAGAGATCCGTGTCTCTGGCACATTGTCCTATTTCGAGTTGAATACCAGATACGTCTCTTTCAAGGGATTATCTGAGCGCGCCCACCTCTTTTCTTGGGTACTTTATCTTGGTAAAAAGGAGCAGTTAAAGCAATGGCCAGACATCTTCCACAAGAGAGGTGGAGTTGTGAGAACCTCACAAACACTGTAAAATCGGCTACCACGGGTTCACACTTGATCTTGCTTTTGTTTACAGCTCCTGGCACTTGCGACTTTGAGTCTGGTTTGTGTGGATATGTCCACGATCAGAACTCTGACTTTGAATGGACCAACAACACAGGGCCTACCTACAGTTCATATACTGGACCAAAAGGCGACCACACCACTGGATCAGGTCATGCATCAGCTTTCCTCTCTATTCATATTTAAGACCTTTTTAGGTAGACTAAATGGTTTACAAAGAAGTTATTGAACTAACACAAGGTCCGTATACGGTAAAAATTGATTTACCAATGTTCTTTTACTGATATTGCAGGGAAATAGTCGGCTAGATCAATCCATTGCCGACACATCAATACAAAAGCACACCTCAGCATTATTTAAACAATTTTCGATGGACGTGAAAGTTATTCGCCAAACACAACGCAACTTATTTTAAAATAATCCTTTCATAAACTTCGCAAACTCAAGAAACAGCATCAGTTAAGCCACATGCACCACCTGGTGATCTGTAGATCAACAAGCCGCTCGCTTTTAAGATTCAAATCTTGCAATTTAGTCCTGCTGTTAGGAGCCAAAAATAACCAGAATTGTTTATTTTGTGATAAAAGCATGAAACTTCCCAGGATTACTAACCTCTATAAGGCAAACATTTTCTGATATGGAGACATCCCAAATTTACACCCAGAACCACGCTACGTGCCTGTCAAAAATGACATATTAGGCCCCTACATGGGAACGAGGCTGAGTTAAAATGCTTATTTCTATTGCCTTCTCCGGAGTTCTTTGCCTAGATTTCTNGGGAAATAGTCGGCTAGATCAATCCATTGCCGACACATCAATACAAAAGCACACCTCAGCATTATTTAAACAATTTTCGATGGACGTGAAAGTTGTTCGCCAAACACAACGTAACTTATTTTAAAATAACCCTTTCATAAACTTCGCAAACTCAAGAAACAGCATCAGTTAAGCCACATGCACTAGCTGGTGATCTGTAGATCAACAAGACGCTCGCTTTTGAGATTCAAATCTTGCAATTATGGTTGATATAAAAATAGCAGATCTCAGTCGATGGAGCGACCACTTTCTAAAAACAAGACGCTCGCTTTCAGTTTAAGATTCAAATCTGGCAATTATGGTTGATATAAAAGTAGCAGATCTCAGTCCATGGAGCTACCACTTTCAATAAACTAACGAAAATATTTAAAAGAAACAAAGTCAACCAAAACTCGGCGACAAATTTTGTTTACAAAGAGCAACAAAGTCAAGCAAAAATCAGAAACGGAAAAGACGAATTTGAATTACAGAATTTGTGAAAAATTTACAAAATTACGAGGAATTAAGAGTCGAGAGTTGTCTCTGTTTGCTAACATCATATATATTCTGATAACTTCTCGTGGAAGCAGGATCGTATATGTACATCGAGACATCGTCCCCGCGTCTAAACCAAGAGGCAGCCCACTTGATCAGTCCTCAGATCTCGAGGGCCGTTGGAAACTGCCTTAGTTTCTACTTCCATATGCACGGCCTCAACATCCGGGAGCTAGCTGTATACGTACAGACCCTGAGTAGTTCGAGACGTCTTCTTTGGCGTTTAAACGGGGAACAAGGAGATGCCTGGAAGTTTGCTTCAGTACCGCTACGCATTCCTAAAAAAGAAG